GATTTCATTTATATCAAGATCAGAGAAAATGCATAAAGAAATTGTTGGTACCCAGAGCCAGGGAAACAGGAAGGAGAGGGGCCTGTGGAATTTTGAGGAGTGATGGGCGTTTCTAGTCTTGACCATGGTGGTAGTTTTCTGCACATATGCCAGTGTCAAAACTCACTGAACTGTACACTTTGAATAGTGCAGTTCTGCATAATCATAACTCAAAGTTGAGAAATAAAACAGTGACCCTGAAACATCAATCAGAAAGAATATATGTGCCCCTATGTTCATAGCGGCGTTATTTACAGTAGCCAAGATCTGGGAAACAGCCCAAGTGCCCATCCGTAGACGAGTGGATAAACAAACCTGGTGCATTTACACCATGGAATACTATGCAGCTGTAAAAAAGGATCTCTGACCCTTTGAGACAGCGTGGAGGGACCTAGAGAGTATTATGCTGAGTGAAAGAAGTCAGTCAGAGAAAGACAAGTATCACATGATCTCACTTATATGTGGAATCTAATGAACAAAATGAACTGATGAGCAAAATAGATCCAGAGACACTGAAGCATAGAACAGACTGAAGATTCTCATAGGGAAGGGGTGTGTGTGTGTGTGTGGCGGGGGGGGGGGGGGGGGGGAGATTGACCAAAGACCTTGTATGCATATATGCTGAACCCATAGATTATAGACAATAGTGGGGTGGAGGCCAGGGAGGGGATGAGAGTGGGGAGGATGGGGGCCAATGGGAGAAAAAAGGAGACATCTGTAATACTTTCAACAATAAAGATAAATTTAAAAAATAAAAATAGTGACCAATAAAAATATGTATTCAGTAAATTAGCTTTATTGGTATGGGCCAAGTGTCCTTGCTACGTCACATTATCTTACCATAGTCATATTCCATTGAGGTTTAATAATCTCTTTAGGATCAAGTACCTGCTAACTATGTTCACCAATAAAAGACCTCATCATTTATGTTCTCTGTAGTAAGAAAGTATAACTGTGGAATCAATTATTCTTGTTTTGGTTCTGGAACTTGGCTTTCCTATGTTCCTTCTCTTCTTTCCTCCCTTCCAAGCTGTTTTAAACTTACTACCCAGAATCCTCAAAATTGGGTTTGTTGACTTGGGAAGTAAAAAACCTACCTTTTGTTTCATGAGCCTGTAAACAACTCCCTCAGACTCTAACCATTCAGACGGCTCACTTCTAAGTGTAACTGTAGCTTTACATTTTAGATACGGAATTATTCCAAATAAATATAGCAAAAGATCCATGATTACATAATTTCTAATATTAGGAAGAGTAAATGGGGAAAAAAAAACTAACTTTCCCTGTATGGAACCTCTCATAATGTAATAATCATGAGCTGCAAAAACTGCATTATTCTATCCCCCCTCCCCGCTGCTCCTCCATTAAAGAAATGTTATGGCATCCTTAGTGGCATGGTTTTAACATGGATTGCCAGCCCAGTTTCCCATATGTCACTGTAAAACAGCGGTTCTCAACCTGTGGGTCGCGACCCCTTTGGGGGTTGAACGACCCTTTCACAGGGGTCGCCTAAGACCATCGGAAAACACATATATAATTACATATTGTTTTTGTGATTCATCACTATGCTTTCATTATGTTCAATTTGTAACAATGAAAATACATCCTGCATATCAGATACTTACATGACGATTCATAACAGTAGCAACATTATAGTGATGAAGTAGCAACGAAAATAATTTTATGGCTGGGGGTCACCACAACATGAGGAACTGTATTAAAGGGGCGCGGCATTAGGAAGGTTGAGAACCACTGCTGTAAAAGTTCTTCAAACAGCGCCGTTATTGTGCTGCTGTAAGCCTTTCTGCTACTCAGCCTTGTTCAGACTTTGTTTTACATTTTCTTTCAGCCTTTTTTGATATATTCATCCATGCATCTTACCCAGTCAAACTTATGATTTTTTCCTAAGACGGAAACAGATTTAGAAAATAGGATTATCAGATACGATGTTTAAACAAGTGTGATATTTAAGATCTGCCAAAGGTGAAAGAAAATAGCAAATCTTGGTCACAGAGCTCTTCTCCCTGGCTCTTCGGCAGGTGAGTCGGGTCTCAGAGCGTTGGGAAGAATGCCAACTTGAATGATCGTCTCTGACTTAAATTCCATAGATGTTTTGATGTTAAGGCTCTTTCAGAATTGGGAATGGTGACAAGAAAAGCCAAGTTTTAAAGAAATTCTTTCCTGTGTACATCCCCCTGAAGGAAAGACAAAGGACTGAGTTGCGGGGCTGACACTGTGGGGCTTTGCCGTCCACTGGACAACAGAGGAGAAGGTTCCCCTAGTGTCCAGAGCTGCTCCCACTCTGGGTACATGGGTGCATCGTAACGGACCTCGACCGCCCTGGTGTAGGGGATGTCGAAGTGTCGGAGGGAGACACGAAGGAGGCATGGTGAGGGGACTGAGCCATAGAGACCCTGTCCTGCGGCTGAGCTGAGTGAGGCAGAGTGATGGGCGGGTGCTGGAGGGGGGTCAGGCAGAGCCGTGAGGATGAAAGAAGGACCTCAGCCTGGCCGCCATGGAGGCACTGCGTCAGTGTACAGGCCAGGAGAGGCCTGTTGCACTATTTCTGATATCAAGGGTCACTGGTCACTTATTGGCCCCCTCCCCCAACCCTTGGTGAACAGGATTGTTTTGGAAATGATTGTTCTCTTTAGCTGGATATTACGGTTAAGTGAGGATTGACCAGGAAGTAGTTTTTGTCTGAAGACTTACTGCAAGTAGATATTTTGGGAAATGTCCCCCTTCCTGTGTCTATGGAGGATAATGATCACTGTTGTCTCCTTCACCCGGGCATCCTTTCTGGTCTGAGCATCTCTGGGTTATGTTTTGATGTGGGAACTGTCTCTTGTTGTCATGGCACCCTCTGCTGTGTGGCAGGATAGACGCCTGTAGGAAGGATAGTTGTCACCTTTCACTGAGGAGGGAGGATGTTTGGATGGTTGTCCTTTTCTACGAAATGAGCCTTGGGTGTTAGATGACTTTCTGTGCCTCCCACCTTGAGAACTTAGGACAGTGCAGCCCCGTGAGACGTGAGGTGGGTGGTGCGCCCACTCTTGCGACGCGAACCTCACACAGGATCTCTGAGTGTCTGCTTCAGTGCAGGCAGGCCTGGCTCCATGACCCAATAGCTACCTGAGGTGCTTAAAAGTTTTTAAAAGTAAGTTATCCGTCAAGTTACTTGTATTAAAATGTGATAAAACCACAGCACAATTTTCATTTTCTTCATGATTTTGAAAGAAAAACATCAAGTGATCACTGTTTTAAAACTCACATTGTGTGTGTTGAGCAGAGAGCAGAAGTTATTTCCAAATGGAGGTACAGGAAGCGTGAAATGTCTGCTCATCCTTCGTCAGCATTACCGGGTGAATCAGCAATTTGCTAAAGTCAGCCAACTTTTACTTTGAATTTTAACCATAGTATATGTAGAAAAAATCATCTGTAACATAGGAATCTTAATTTGGTATTAATACATTAACAGAATTTTAGTTTTGGAAGGTTCCTTGGGGGTATTATATCTTTTTAGGTTTGAGAAATATTAGAAGGTGACTGTGTTATTCGAGGGATGTGTGCATTCTTACCTGATTGAGTCATTGCTTGGTTACACTGCTGGGTGAGAATGGGGTACTGGCCACTTGGAAGGGTTTCGAAATTAGGGCAATAGATTTTCTGAACTTCCTGTTGTGCCCCATGCCAGTGAGGCCAGGGCTGAGGGGCCTCATTCATAGAAGTCAGTGAGGTGGCTGTGCTCAGAGCTGCCAAGCCTTGCTCTTCTTTGGCCGTTGTCTTGCAGGTGTATCCAGCTCCCAGAGCAATGAGCGAGGGCTCTCTCGCTCCTCCTGGCTCTGGACAAGCCATCAGGGGTGTTTCTCTGAGTCCTGTCTCAGGGCGTATGTATGGCAATAGGCTGTGCTGTGTTTGGAAGAAGTTGATGATAGAGGTTTTGGGTTTGTATTAAAAATATCAAGTCATTCATTCAGAAGCAAGTACTGCATTGGACCAGGTCCTGTGTTTTATGCTTGAGGGCAGAAAACAAGACTGGCAAGGTTTTAACATTTCAGCTGAGACCTAAAGGTGAAGAGGTCCAGGCGCGGCAGGGAGGAGCTTATGCCTTGGGCAGGACGAATGGTGAGGCTGGAGAAGAGCAGGAGAGGGAGACAAAGGCTTGAGAAGACGTTGGGCCAATAGGTGGGAAATCTGACCACACAGGTCCGAGGACACGCTGAGGCTTTAAAATCGGTCATCAGACACTCGGAAGGCATCACAGGAGTTTCAGCAAGGGAGGATGGCATTGCTGTGGGAGAATCAGCTAGAGTGTGGTTCTCAACCTTCCTGATGCCGCGACCCTTTAATGCAGTTCCTCATGCTGTGGTGACCCCCAATTTCATTGTTACAAATGGAACATAATTAAAGCATAGTGATTCATCACAAAAACAATATGTAATTATATATGTGTTTTCCGATGGTCTTAGGCGACCCCTGTGAAAGGGTCGTTCGATCTCCAAAGGGGTCGCGACCCACAGGTTGAGAACTGCTGAACTAGAGGATCCAGAGGGCTTGAGGGGAATGAAGCTTTTGTTATTGTCTTGAATAGCAGCTAATATTTATTATTTGTTGGCTGTGGGCTAGGCAGTATGCCAAACCCTTTTACTCTCGTCTCAGGGAAACCTTGTAAGAGCCCAGTAGGTGCTGCTGTTATCCCTGCCTCACGGATGAGAAAGCAAGACCCGCGAGGATCAGTGGCTGAGCTGGGACTTGAGCCCAGACAGTGTGGGGTTCCAGACCCCGTGCTGTGAGCCACTGGGCATGCGCTTTCAGGGCAAGAGGTGATGGTCTGCCAGCGGTTCTTGACTGTGGGTGGGTCACGCTGGACATTTTTTTATACAACAGAAATTAGAGTACTTGGGACTAGTAAAAGTAAAATATTGGTATGTAAAACTTTGGTTCACTTTTTTTTTGTACAGCTGTGCGTGTGCACGTGTGAACTTGTAAGCCATTGCAGAAAGCAAGCAGCATTGGTATGTAAAACTTTGGTTCACTTTTTTTTTGTACAGCTGTGCGTGTGCACGTGTGAACTTGTAAGCCATTGCAGAAAGCAAGCAGCATTGGTGTAGCCGAGAGCCGGTGGAGTGGTGGCAGTGCTCATGGAGGGGAGGGAGTCTCAGGGTGAGAGGCCGATGTGCAGTCTCCATGTGAGATGCACGCAGGGCCCAGTGTGGGGAGGTGTCAGGACGTGCCCCGCTCTCTGGGGGGAGAAGATGGGTCCAGGTGTGCGTGTGCGCAGTGCAGGCCTCCTGGTTCTCTAGCTTCTCTCAGCGGTAGCTGATGGGACAGGGTTGGCATGTCACCCACATGTGCATCTTCCAGCAGATCTGTCAGCTGGCTCTGACTTGTGAGGTGAGCTGTCACCCCGAACTGCCTGAATAGGGGTTTGAGCCACGAATCAATTCTCCGGAGTTTAAGGTGAGTGGTGAGCCACCCAGTGGCAGTGGGCTCGCAAGTAGTGTTGGAGTGAGGGTCTGGGAATGGTTTGGCTGCAGTCAGTGCCCTTGGGATCCAAGGACCTCAGGGTTCCAGGCTTGAAGGCCCAACGTGAAAGTAAGATTAGTACAGTTTTAGGAGTTCGCAAGGCAGGTGCCGCAAAGCACAGGCTGGGACTGGGTGCGGGACGCAGTGGCTGGGATGTGACCGTCTGGAGAAGGTGGAGGCTCTGTCTGTGGAGCCAGCATGCAGGTGCGTGATGTCCTTGACCGACGGTGCTGGCCTCTTCTTCCCAACACTGATTCCCTGTTGGTAACTGAAATATTAAGACCAGTTGCCAAAAGGAATTGCCTGTTTCCTACGGGCACCCCCAAGTCGAGTAGTTCTCGGGGTGATTTTGGAGTTGATTGCGTGTGGTGCTGAGTCAGTCGGGTGGAGCGTGAGCACAGTCTGAGATGTTTTCATCGACTGCTTCTGAGGAACTCAGTTTCAGCCACACGGAGCACCTGGAAGCAAGCGTAGAAGTAGGATAGCGTTTGAGCTGCATCGTGTCTGAGTCTCGGAGGTGGAATGCCCTGGTCTGGCTGGGTCTGTCTGAACGTTGCAGTCCTTGTCTCTCCTCACTGTTTGGAGGAGAGTGGATCTGAGGACAGGGACGTTTCCGCAGTTGCTGAACATTTGGGACCTTCCGGCTTTAGGCAGTGAGTCCAGTGTCGGGGGACAAGGGGTCACAGGAGTGGATCCTGAGGAGCTTCTCAGCCGCCGTCACATGATCACACGCCGTGGGAGGTGCACACTCCATGGGGGTGCACACACTGGGGGTGCTCGCCACGGCGTTGGGGTCTGGAAGGAAACGCGAATCACCGCCTGCTTTCAGCTCTGTGTGCTTGAAACGTCATGTGTGAGGACGGTAGTACATGTCTGAGACACATACACATAGGCTGGGCTACCTTTCTTTGCAGGTGGTTGTATGTGATAAAATGTATGGAGGCTACTATATGTTAGTTTGGATCTTAAAAAGGCACATGTTGATAACTTGTCCTAACGTTTTGGGAGAACCAGGAGCCTCTGTGCATGTGACCTGTGTGACAGCAAGGAGGGAGCTGTGCTTGCAGCCTGCACTGTCGTGTGGAGCAAGACTTGCTCTCAAAGAGGTCGTTTTCTCCTCCTCAGGAAAAGGTCAAAAGGAACTTGACCTTTTGCGGAAGGTGTCCCTTGTTAGGAAGCACCGTGCCCTCCTGCCAGCTGTCAGGTTGGGGATGGGGCCTGGAGAGCGTGGTGCACCTGTGCCCTCGCACTGGTCAGTCCTGTCCCAGCCGTACCCCCTGGGGACCCACACGCCTATTCACGCCTTAGAGCAACAGGAATGGGATGCTCCCCCCAAATGTCCTGGCCCTTCTGCTCTGCGTCGTGTTTTCTCAGTATGGAAGGCCTCACAGTCAGAGCCCGTGTAACCCTTGGTTCACAGGTTCTTTCTCTCCCACCCTGAGAACCTTTGTCCTAAATTAGTTAGAAAAGCGCTATCCAGCCCTGTTTTAAATGAGGGAAATTGGTTAAGTGCTTCTAGGGCAGTGATGGCGAACCTATGACACGCCTGTCAGAGGTGACACGCGAACTCATTTTTTGGGTTGATTTTTCTTTGTTAAATGGCATTTAAATACATAAAATAAATATCAAAAATATAAGTCTTTGTTTTACTATGGTTGCAAATATCAAAAAATTTCTATATGTGACACGGCACCAGAGTTAAGTTAGGGGTTTTCAAAATGCTGACATGCCGAGCTCAAAAGGTTCGCCATCACTTGTCTAGGGTCACTGAGGCCTTCATGTTCATTTTTGTTCAGGTGACACCTTGCCTGTGTCTTTCAGGTTGGACACAGTGGGGAGAATGCTTTCACGGCACGTCCCAGCCCCACTCGCAACTCAGGATGTCCCAGGGGGAGAGCGCAGTGTTTGCCTATGAGTCCTCAGTGCACAGCGCCAACGTCCTGCTCAGCCTCGACGACCAGCGCAGGAAGGATGAGCTGTGCGACGTCACCGTCCTCGTGGAGGGGCGGCCATTCCGCGCCCACCGTGCCGTGCTGGCCGCCTGCAGCACTTACTTCCACGCGAGGGTCCTGTGCCAGGCTGACCCGGAGCTCAGCATTTCTCTCCCAGAAGAGGTGAGCGGGTCCACCCTCGGGAAGCCACCCTGATTTTAACTCATGGAACCTAATTCAACCTCTATGGTTCACTCAGTTAAAGACAAAACCATCTTGTCTCAAGGCTCAGGTGCAGTTCCTAGGTTCTGCAGCAATACGTTTAACTTTTTTTCACAAAATTATGACATTTTACATGTAAAATTATTAATTTTGGATTTAGTTAAAAATATTTATTGAGCAGATGAATAACGTACGTTATTTTTAATTTTAACTTTTAAAATATATTTGTATTGCCCTAGCCGGTTTGGCTCGGTGGATGGAACGTCAGCCTGCGGACCGAAGGTTCCCGAGTTCGATTCTGGTCAAGGGCACATGCCTGGGTTGTGGGCTTGGTCCATCCTGCAAGAGGCAGTCAATCAATGATTCCCTCTCATCATTGATGTTTCTATCTCTCTCTTCCTCTCCCTTCCTCTCCCTTCCTCTCTGAAATCAATAAAAATATTTTAAAAATATATATTTGTATTGATTTCAGGGAGAGGCAGGTTAGGGAGAGAGAGAGAAACATCAGCAATGAAAGAGAATCATTGATTGGCTGCCTCATGCATGCCCCCTACTGGGGATCGAGCCCACAACCCAGGCATGTGCCCTGATCTCCTTTGCCCAGTTTCCTCCAATGGTAACATTTTGCAGAATTGTAGAATATCACAACCAGGATATTGACATGAATACAACCCATCAGCTTATTCAGAGTTTTTGGTTTTACTTGCACTAAGTGTGTGTGTGTGTGTGTGTGTGTGTGTGTGTGTGTGAAGCTCTGTGCAGTTCCATGTGTCCACCACAGATACTAAATGGTTCCCACACCCGAAGAACCATTTATAATTGCACCCTCCATCCCTAAACCCTGGCAACCACTAATCTGTCCTCCTTTCTAAAGTTTTGTCATTTCAAAAATGTTATATAATTGGAATAACACAGTATGTGACCTTTTAGAATTGGCTTTTTTCCACTTAATTCCCTTGAGATTCATCCAGGTTGCATGTATCGATAGTTTTTTTTGGATTGCTGAGTAATTTTCCACAGTATGGATGTGCCAGTTTTTATTTAACTGTTCGCCTATTAAAGGAAATTAGGCTAGTTCCAGTTTTTGGCTATTACAAATAATGTTGCTATGGACATTGGGCCGAGCCAGCTCAGCCAAGGATTCGAAAGCCTGAGTGAGGGTGGCGAAAGGATGAAGAAATGACAGACAAAGAATAAGCTGGGTCTAGGTGGATCTTCCTGTGCCTGGCTGAGGCCACAGAGGGAGAGCCAGAGGCAAGCTGAGCCTTTATTTTATAGCCAGAGGTAAACAAGGTAGTGGTCACCATAGTTACAGTGTTCTTGTGAGTTTCACTTGTTTTGGCAGCACTTGCTGCACCTCCCACAGCCCATTAGCTACCTAGGAAGGATCTAGGGAGCGTCATAAGGTCAAGCCTCATTATGGTAAGAGGACTGTGCCCTCTAAGCTGGGACTTGTTTGTGGCTTTGCCAACAGATCAGTCCGAGGCTTAACCCGATAGCCGCGCCCTACATCTCGCCCTTTTTTTTTTTATTTTTAAGCTACTATAATGAAAGTAAAACTTAAGCATCAAGAACAAAACTCTGGCTATTAAAACAATAACAAAACAATGCCAATGCAAAACCCAAACTACAAACATGTTAACATTTTAAAACTTAAACATAAAGCTCTGGCTGTTAACAAAACAATGCCAATGTGTTAACGTTTTTAAAACTAGTAAGAATAATAAAACAATGCCAATGCAAAACAGCAATAAGTGAGTTTTTGCTAAATGAAAGTTTCTTTTGCTGATCTACTCAGAATCCTCAGACATGGCTGCGCAAGACTTTGCAGAAGACTGGCAGCTAACGAATGCTAGCACAGCCAGAAACATGGTTGAGGGAGTAGCTTCCACGTCTTGCTTTTCTGCCATCTGCTGGGCCTCAGTTGTGAACTTCTCCAGCCGACCCCCTGTTGGCACCTCAGTCCCCTGCGTAGCCTTCGTCATCTTCCTTTTTTTGTTTTGCTGTCATCGGGGCAACTCTCAGTCTTTTGAGCGAAGGGACAAGGAGCTTCTCTGGGTCCATTGTGGTGACGCACGTAACACCCTGGTACCCAAATTGGCTGTGCTGCTCCGTCTGGAAAGATACAAAACACCACCTCTTCCCCACATCATTACTGGATCTGGTAAAACTCTTGTCAGGAGGCCCAGTGCCTTTCGGCTGCTGTACGACCCTCTGCATTGTAATTCAAAAACTTTAACACATAACATTCTTCTCTCCCTTTTTTTTTGTTTTTATAGTTGCATTTTAAGAGTATTATTGGTGCTTTCCGCTATTGCCTGAGTCCTGATCCATCACCCCAGGGAGAACTTGCCAATCCTGCGCTTCCCGGGGTGGCATGAGAAAGGTTTACTGAGCCTGCTGGAAAGGCTGCAGTGGGGTTAAGGATAAGACCCCTAATGTTTGATGGGACCGGGCTGGCCTCCCTTGAAGTGTCTCTGCCTAGGGGGCATTGGTTGTCACAGTTAAAGCAACCCCCTTTCTTTTTGTTTCTGCATGTTTAGGGGGTAAAAGGAGAGGCTTATGAGCAACAGTAAGCTCCCCAAATGTTTGCACCAGACCCCCATCATCCCAAACCCGCCGGCGCTGTTCCCTTGCTTCTTCATGGGAAGAAGCACATCCTCTGGAGGGCTCTCTCCCACAGGAGCTGCAGCCCCGGGGACTGGAGGAGGCAGCGGAGGCGCCGATGGTGCAGGTGGAGTCGGAAGCCTCTGGCAGCCTTCCCCCATCTGTCTTGATTCCCCGGCCACATTCATCCACTCCCTTTCAGGAGTGGGCTCTAGGCAGTCCCGAATCAGGGACGACAGACTGAAAGCAGAGGCAGGCATTTCCTCTGGACCTTCAGCTATATAATGATCTTTAAGTTGTTTTCCTACCTTCTCCCATGCCTCTGTATTTACCTTTCCTTCCTCCGAAAACCATGGACAGATTTTACTCACAAAACCCAACAACTCGAAAAGCTGTTCATACCTCACAGAACAGCCCCGTGCTTGGAGCATAGCCTTAAGCATGGATATGTGTAAGTTCTTTTCCTGCGATCCTGAATTTCCCATGTTTTACACCTAGTTATATCACTGAACTTTGCTCCGTACCTTCCTTCTTGTTTTCTGCACGTTCTTCACTGGAGTGTCCTTTCACCTGACAACTGCAGTTCCCCCAAACTCAGGCCCCGCGTTGGGCGCCACATGGGCCGAGCCAGCTCAGCCAAGGGTTCGAAAACCTGAATGAGGGCAGCGAAAGGATGAAGAAATGACAAAGAGAATAAGCTGGGTCTAGGTCAGTGATGGCGAACCTATGACACGCGTGTCAGAGGTGACACGCAAACTCATTTTTTTTGGTTGATTTTTCTTTGTGAAATGGCATTTAAATATATAAAATATCAAAAATACAAGTCTTCGTTTTACTATGGTTGCAAATATCAAACAATTTCTATATATGACATGGCACCAGAGTTAAGTTAGGGTTTTTCAAAATGCTGACACGCTGAGCTCAAAAGGTTCGCTATCACTGATCTAGGTGGATCTTCCTGTGCCTGGCTGAGGCCAGAGAGAGAGATCCAGAGGCAAGCTGAGTCTTTATTTTATAGCCAGAGGTAAACAAGGTAGTGGTCACCATAGTTACAGTGTTCTTGTGAGTTTCACTTGTTTTGGCAGCACTTGCTGCACCTCCCACAGCCCATTAGCTACCTAGGAAGGATCTAGGGAGCGTCATAAGGTCAAGCCTCATTATGGTAAGAGGACTGTGCCCTCTAAGCCGGGACTTGCTTGTGGCTTTGCCAACAGATCAGTCGCTCCCTACAGACATTTGTGTCCAGGTCATTTCTTGGGGACAGAGGGCAGGATCCAGTTGCCAGGCCTTACGGTGGTTGTGCGTTAGCTTTACAAGAAGCCCTGGACTGCTTTGCAGAGTGGCTGTGCGTTCCCATTCCTGGCCAGTGTGAGTGCCCTGCTTCTCCATGTCTCACCGGGGAGAGCTGCTTTTTGTTTCACACCATTTGAAAGCCAGTGCAGTGCGCACAGCTTAGAATGTTTTTAAGGAGATCACGAAAACAGTGTCTTGGCCACTCTTACAGGGACTCAGTGTTGAAGAATCAGTTCTGTATCGTAACCCAGACCGAGGCTTTCCCTGCACTTCACCCGCTCAGTTCCGTCTGCCCTCACGGTGTTGAGGCAGGTTCAGTGCAGATGTGCATGTTTCTGCTTAAAGCTTGTGTAGCCGGGAGCCCGTGGATCTTTGCATGATTTTTAGAATTTCACTTTGTTCACTTTTAAAATTTGAATCTTTAAAAATTTTATTAGAAGTTTTTGGAATGAGATCAAGGTAACAATTACCATTTATTGTGCATTTGCCCTGGATCAGAACTCCTTGAAGTCCTTTAGCTATGTTGTTCACCTGTAAACTGCTCCCTCTGTGGCTGACAGCAGCTGGAGTTGTTCGCATATGACTGCCTGGTGGGCTGGCGTGGACACTGGGGGTGATGCGTGTGTCAGGCTCCTCCTGCTGTAGTTACCGGTATTTATTGCAGCCCGTTTGGAGACAGTGTGGTGCTGTCTCTCTTTCTTTCCCCGTGTGAGTACATTGTAGTTACGTGTCAGTCAGCGTGGACTCTCTGAGTAGGTGTGTGTGATAGTGTGACCCCCTCAGCTTTGTACTCCCTGGGAATGGTTGTCTTATCCAGTTAAAGAACCTGCTTTATCGTTGTCACAGGTAAGTTACTCATCTCTCGTCCCGTCTGCTCTTGTGTTATCGACTAGACAGCTGTCGAGTAATGCATTTGTTTTCATTTTGTATGTTAACAGGTGACAGTTAAAGGATTTGAGCCTTTACTTCAGTTTGCCTACACGGCTAAGCTGCTTCTGAGTCAGGACAACGTGGATGACGTGTGCAGGTGTGTGGAGTTTCTAGGTGTTCACGACATCGAGGAGTCCTGCTTTCAGTTTCTCAGATTTAAGTCCTTGGACTCGACTGCCAACCAGCAGGAATGCCCGAGGAAAGCCTGCTTCCCCGCCCACTGCCAGAAAGCAGGCCTCAGGCTCCCACTTCCAGACCAGAGGGATTTAGAAGTTAATGAGGTGGAGGAATTTTTGGAAAATAAAAATGGTCAGACTCCTCAATGTAAACTCCGTGGATGTCAAGGAAATACAAAACCGTCACCTCCCCTACAAGACAGTGCCAGTCAGACATGGGAGTCCATGTGCCTAGACAAGGGGGCTGCTCTGGCTCTGCCATCTCTATGCCCCAAATACAGAAAATTCCAGAAAGCGTTTGGGACGGACAGAGTCCGCGCTGTGGAGTCGGGGTTCAAAGACGCTCACACTTCTGTTCCGCCCAGTGAGACGCCTGAAAGCGAGTGTCCGGGAGGAGCCCAGGACTGCGCAGACTTGCAGGTGGTTTTAAAATGTGAAGAAAGTAACGCAGCAGCAGAGCCTGAAGACACCACGGAGGAGCCTGCCTCTCAGTGCCCGTTGGAGCAGACGGGGGCGCCGTTCCTCCACTCCCCCGCGGACCCGCCGGGCCTCTACTCGCTGTCCCTCCTGCACACCTACGACCAGTATGGCGACTTGAACTTGGCTGGTATGCAACCCACAGCAGTGTTAACCGAAAAGCCGTTGTCAGGCCCAGCTGCTGGAGAAGAGAAAACCTTTGCTGGAAGTGAGGATTTACTTTTGAAACAGGACTCCAGCCCTGGGGGAGAGGGCGGCCCCGCTCCTGGTGGTCGCAGCAGTGTAGAGCGGGAGGTGGCCGAGCACTTGGCCAAGGGCTTCTGGAGCGACCTCTGCAGCCCAGACGCTCCTGGCCCAGTGCCGCTGTCACCTGCCGGGGCCAACGATGGGGCAGGACAGGGCCACTCACAGAAGCGGTCCGAGTGCCCCTGGCTGGGGATCAGGATTAGCGAGAGCCCGGAGCCGGGCCAGAGGACTTTCGCAACGTTAAGTTCTGTCAACTGCCCTTTTATAAGCACCCTGAGCACCGAAGGCCATGTGAGCAGCTTGGAGATAGGAGCTGACGGTTATGCCTCGGAGCCCCAGCAGGAACCCTGTCCATACGCCTGTGTGATCAGCTTGGGGGATGACTCTGAGACGGACACCGAAGGGGACAGTGAGCCCTGCTCAGCCCGAGAGCAGGAATGTGAGGTGAGGGCTCGCGGGGGTGTTCAGTCAGGTTTTGCCACCACTGACGGGGATTCACTATCAGCGCCTGGCGCCCCACCAGGGGGGCGCGCGGGCTCGGGGAGGGGACCGCACCATGAGGTGTGAAACTGTGGGGTCTGCACCAAGCAGGTACTTCTGTCAGCCATGGCCTGGAGGCCCACAGGGCTATGTAAGTGCTCCCCTCAAACGCCAGGTCCCCCAGGAGGGGAGCAGTGGTGCTGGGTCCTTGCGTGTGACTCCTGAGTGGGTAGCACGGACGGTCCACTCACTGCCATGGGGTCCTGCACCTGGGCAGCCCCTTGGCAGGACTGCGGTGCCCGTTGTAGGGATGCGGCCGGCAGCGCGACCTGCCTTTACTAGTCCGTTACTCTCTCATAGCCATGCTTGTTCTCTTAGTTCCTTAGTCTTTCAGCATTGCCTTAATGATGTCTAATAACTGAGCAAGTGCTGCGTGTAGTTGGTGTGCGATAGCTGCTGTTGTAAAACCTGCCTGTGATCCCCAGGGCTTCTTAGTTCTTGATTATTTTCTTGGTTCTGTAGTTGTTGGATGACAGGTTTGGGAGAGTGTAAGACAGTGATGGCGAACCTTCTGAGCTCGGCGTGTCAGCATTTTGAAAAACCCTTACTTAACTCTGGTGCCGTGTCACATATAGAAATTTTTTGATATTTGCAACCATAGTAAAACAAAGACTTATATTTTTGACATTTATTTTATATATTTAAATGCCACTTAACAAAAATCAACCAAAAAAATGAGTTCGTGTGTCACCTCTGACACGCGTGTCATAGGTTCGCCATCACTGGTGTAAGAGGTTGTTTTTCCTGGGCTTTGGGAAGAGGTGATCAGTGATTTAACTTAAGAAGTAAGATGTATGCATGAGTTTTATCTGTAGATTTTTGTATGCTATTTATAAACTCAGCGTTTGGAACTATGAAAAGAACATTAAAAATAAAACATTTAGGAAGTTTAAAAATATTTCATATATGTAACAAACTAAATAGGTTGCCAGAAAATTGACCAATATTTTATTTGCATTTTTAGTCATTAATATAATTAAGCTGTTCTACAATTTTGTTATTAGATTTCCCCCCCCCCAAATTTATGTATCTTGAAAATGAATTTACAACATTTTCCTAATTATTTCTACACTAGAGGCCTGGTGCATGAAATTCATGCACTAGCGAGGGAGGGTGTCCCTCAGCCCATCCTGAACCCTCTCCAATCTGGGACCCCTCGGGGGATGTCCGACTGCCCGTTTAGGCCTGATCCCACCGGCAGTTGGACATCCCTCTCACAATCCAGAACTGCTGGCTCCCAACCGCTCACCTGCCTGCTTGCCCCTAACCGCTTCTGCCTGCCAGCCTGATCACCCCCTAACCACTCTCCTGCCAGCCTGATCGACGCCTAACTGTTCTCCTGCCGGCCCGATTGCCCCCAGCTGCCCTCCCCTGCTGGAAAGTGAGATGTGTGCCTTTGTCTCCCAGGGTTGAGTGTGATAGCAAAACACAGCAGTGGTGACTGATGTTTGTCTCACGTCCTAGGTAAAACTGCCATTTAACGCACAGCGGATCATTTCCCTCTCTCGGAATGACTTCCAGTCCTTGCTGAGGATGCACAAGCTGACTCCAGAACAGCTGGACTGTATCCACGACATCCGGAGGAGGAGTAAGAACAGGATCGCCGCCCAGCGCTGCCGCAAGAGGAAGCTCGACTGCATACAGAACCTGGAGTCGGAAATCGAGAAGCTGGTAAGGATGCCAGAGAGTTAAACTCCACCACATTCACCCATTCTTTTTACTGTAGAGGAGACAGCTATTTTAATTCCTAAGTCAGATTATAATGTCCAATTATACATTAACTTTAAAATTTACCACATACCATTTAAGAAAGTAAATTATATGACATTTAGGAAGTAAAAAAGGATGTTTATAGACTACTTTACATATATAAGTATTCTACATATTATAGCATAATATGTTATAAATTGAGAACTATTTCTGGGTGCCTTTTTAACGATTTACAAATTAAGGATAGTTTTACCACCTACCTAATTCTTAGGTTGAATCAAGATGCAAGACATTGTGAGGCACTTCAGTGTTTTGTGTCATGGATCTGTAACACTTAATGGTTCAGTTGTTAGTTAAAATACACTGTAGACTTGAATAACTTGTTTTGGTTGATACCAAAACAAACCCACTTGGATCTTTTATCTAAGGGAAAAAGTCAGATGCTGATAGGAAAGGAACATTCCGAGATCTAAGGAGACCCTGCGTGTGAGGAATGCCTGCTTTGTTGAAACTTATTTTCTGTTCCAGCATCAAAACACAGATTAACTGAAAAACGATTAACTTACAGCCAGCCAGGTGTCTCTGTCCCCTAGTGGTGGCTGGAAGGAACATTGTCTGAGCAGCAGAAGCTGGAACTGGTACAGACAGCAGGGAAGAGGGCCCACATGGAGGAAGTACCTTTCTTCTGTGCTCAGTTTTGGGTGTTTGTTAATTACTGATGAGAGCTTAAAATTGTGATTGTAGCAAATCTTCAAGTATGAACATTTTAGCTATGAATAGCAATTAGATAATTTAGAAAGAAAACCATGCTTTTATATACCTTCAAAAAAGTGGAAAACAAAAATTTATATATTTTTTGTATACTTTAGTTGTGCAAAAAGAGGAAGACATATAACTATTTAAAAAGACGAGGCACAGCTGTAGAAGGTTAACGAGAAGCCAGATGTTTTACAAGTGAAGGCACGAGAGAGATGAAAACCTCTGTGATTTTGCTGACTGATTAAAGTGGTTGGGAACACAGAAAAGTTACAGATTTGGGCCCTGGCCAGTTTTTCTCAGTGGTTAAAGCACTGGCTTGGGTCTGTGGGTTCGATTCCCAGTCAGGGGCATGTACCTCTGTTGTTTAGTACTTTATTTTTTTCAAAATATTAGCTGCTATGAAATACTTAAAAACTAATTACCATAGTTAGATTTACAGTTTTTTAGAAAAACTTTTATATAAAACCGTAATAGTACTTCTGTATAAAGCAAATTTCCTTTTACCCTTAAAACTATTTCTGTTCCAGAAAAGAATCTATGTAGAGGGTTATCACTGATATCACCCATCTAACTGTTAAGCACAGCGTCAGCTCTATAGAACCTACCCATGAGCAGAAAACCAAGAGCCCTGTCTAATCCCACAGGGGAAGCCTTTGGCCTCCTGCCAGCTTTTACTTCCTCTCCCTCTGGTCACCTGGCTCCTGCTGGGTCAGAGCAGGTGTAGGGGCAGCAGGAAAGGGAGTGAGCGAGGGGGAAGCAGGTGGTGGTGGTGGATGGGCTGCAAGAGCCAGCAAACCTGAGAACATTGTGAAGACTTGCCTGGAGAAATAACAATTCTAAATAATAATACTATGATCGACAAAACAGACCCCCCACCCCCTCCCCCCACACACCCCAGTTCTTCACACTCTCGTAGCTCACGCATTAGATTTCTAACTGTGGGCATTTTAGACGCTGAGCCCCACCTATAATGTGGGTTTAACGTTACTTAAATCAGCAGTCGTGGGAATCACACAGCTGAGAGTGTGAATTCGAAGACATTTTGCACAATATTCGGCACAAAGTAAGTGCTCAACAAATGCTAGTCGCTATTCGAACCTGATGGTGATTTGAGTCGCAGGAGTTCGGATGAGTGTGCTTGTGCCTCTTTTGACTCTGCTGTCCAAGATGTTAAGTCCACACTTGCTGTTCTGCAGTCCACAAGTCCAGAAAGCTCTGAGAACCGTACAAGAGACAGTACCGAGTGTCACCACTCCTTTGGCCAGAAACTGATGCAAATGACATCAGGCGACGTAGAATCTATTTTTCTCTACTTTGCGCATTGTTTGATATTTCACTGTGTTTTATTTAGAAGTGTAGAGATGTTTGACAGTGGGTGGCTGCCCCAGACCCCGCCAGAGGGAAGATGTGCGTCCACATTATCTTCCTAAATCTGAAAAATCCTGAATCCCAAGATACGTCAGGCCTAGGAGTTTTGGATGAGGGATTATGGACCTGAGGTATTGAATACATTTTTCAATTGAATTGAAAGGAAAAATTCCATGTGACCTTGTTTAATGAAAAGATACTGCAGACACCAATGTCTGGTCGCCTTAGCGATGGTTCTAATGCCCCCGAGTCATTGCGTTCTCTCTGTGCCCACAGCAGAGTGAGAAGGAGAGCTTGCTGAGGGAGAGAGACCACATCCTGTCGACGCTGGGTGAGACCAAGCAGAACCTGACCGGACTTTGCCAGCAAGTCTGTAAAGAGGCGGCTCTGAGCCAGGAACAGATTCAGATACTCGCCAAGTACTCGGCCTCAGACTGCCCACTTTCGTTTTTAATTTCTGAAAAGGACAAAAGTACTTCTGATGGTGCTCTTGTGTTCCCACCAATTCTGAGTTTACCGGAGGGGCCTCCTGCCACGCCACCTGCTGGGGGCCAAAGCCCCTGCTTCCCCGGCGGCGGGAAGGGCAGTGGGTCGGGCTGCGTGCTGGCTCAGGAGTCTGGGCCGAGCCCCAGGGTGGCCCCGGAGTGCGCGGGGCCCTCAGAGCAGAGCCGGCAGAGCACAGGCATCTCCGACTTCTGCCAGCAGATGACCGACAAATGCACTACTGACGAGTGAGCCTCATTCCTCCTTCCAGCCCCCGAGCCTCCTGCTGAAGCTCTGGCGTGTGTCTTGAGCCTCATCCAGCCATTGGTCTGCTGACAGGGCTGTTTCCCCTCCGTGGCTGAAGGGGCTTCTCTGAGGCCCGATGCCTCGATTCCACAGAGATGCAGAGATGGCAGCTTTCTGGAGATGGAGAAGTTCCATCGAACACGTAGTGAGGCTTTTATTCTGTTTCAAAGAATAATAACTGTTAGTAGCAACTCTCCCCCTCATTCAAAATGTCAGAATGTGGACTAGCCTATCCAGCAGCCGTGTAACTGCAGGCGCCTACAGGGTTCCCCGAGGAAGGGCCCGGGGAATCAGCAGCCTGCCCTGCCTGCGTGTGCTGAGAGAGCCTGGCCCCAAGAGCTGATGGGGCTGCGCACAGTGGGGCAGCTGCTTGGGATGCCAGAAGCCTGGAGCTTGGCTCCTCAGCTCCTGCTAAAACCAGAGGTGGGTGGCCTACCGCTGTGACCTAAGCGCCCATGGGCCTTGAGGAGCCGGGGCAGGCAGGTGGCCCAAGCAGAGGCTCTGGCCCTGTCATGTGGCTCTTAGGGGCTGTGGTCATGGTAGCGGGTAAGAGCCACGGCTTCTCTCCTCAGTCTACCCAGCTGGTCCTTGAGGTCTCTGCCTCCTGACGTTCTGTCCCTTTGCAGGGGGAAATGGGAGTTGGATTCAGGCAGTGTTGCCTTCAGCTCCGTGGACCCCAAGGGCTCGCCACAGCGCAGTGCCCTGCAGAGCCCGACGTCTGGGGAGAGGGCCACCTGCAGGACTGGGAGCGGCAGGCACTTTCATCTGGTTTTGAAACCCTTTGGTTTACTTGTAAAAAGTATTCTTGTAGATTTAAAAGATGCCTCCAGAACAACCGTATAGGTTTGTGAAACGGGATGAAACTCGATCTTGTTTCATGTGAATTTGAATTTGGAAACTTGAGTGAATGTTGCTGTTCCTGAATCTGGTGTCTCGGGGCCCACGGTCCTGGTCCTCTTAGTCGTCCTTTGTGTCTGCCCGTCCTGTTCAATGCAGCTTTCACCTCTGAGTGCTCCCGCACTGCTGTTACAGACTTGTTTGACAAGGAACGCTAGACTCTTGGCCTCCTACCATTACAAAAGCGTGTTCTCAGGCACAGACATGTGCAGAGCCTGTTGTAAAGGGTACGAAGGGGTGGTTGAGGGTGTTTGGTTTAGACAGTACCTCACTGAGTCAGACACCCAAGGCTCCATCCAGGGCGTCCTGAACCACGAGAAGGGCCCATGGGTGCCACTCCCGTGGGGACAGCTCTCGTCCGGGACAGTGAGCCTGAAGCAAGGCAGCTTTGGCTGAGAGCACAGGGACCACTGAGGACTTTAGACTCCTGGCCAGGTGCGACCCTTTCTGATGGGCGGTGGCTGCAGGAGGCATTCCCAGTCTATGTCTGTTACTGGCTTAGTGATTGTAAGAGAAAACTAGTTGGGCTTGCTTCTAGTCTAGAGCAGTGGTTCTCAACCTTCCTGATGCCGCGACCCTTTAATACAGTTCCTCATGTTGTGGTGACTCCCAATTTCATTGTGACAAATTGAACATAATTAGAGCATAGTGATGAATCACAAAAACAGTATGTAATTATATATGTGTTTTCCGATGGTCTTAGGCGACCCCTGTGAAAGGGTCGTTCAACCCCCAAAAGGTTCGCGACCCACAGGTTGAGAACCGCTGGTCTAGAGGCTTTCATGAATACACTCAAGAATGTGTCAGGGAGAATGAAATTAGTTCTGTGCTAATGCATCCCAGCCCATAAAGTGTGTGGGCACAGACATCCCGTGTAGCTGTCTGATACTTATAACTTTAACTTCAAAATACGAAATAATATAAAAATGCTTCTGGTTTACAAATGTAAAATCTAATACAAGCCAATGGAATCCTTGATTTCCTACCTCAGCGGACACTCAGCTGTCTGTCATACAAGTATGCGTGTGCGCGCGCGCGTGTGTGTGTGTGTGTGTGTGTGTGTGTGCGTGCAGGTGTCACATGATCTGCTTCGTTGCCCCGTAAATAACTGCTTTGAAAGCTTCCTTTCTCCTTTAATGATAAAACCCAGTTGTCTCCAGAGTATGATTATGATTTTTAAGGCACTTGGTTTAAATTGATCTCTACATATAAACAGCTTAGCATTAAGGGTTTATGTTAATGATACTCCGATTATTGGCCAGCTGTAAAGCATAGCATTGTTTTACTAGCCAGCATGGAATACACAGGAACTACACTACCTCATACCTCCATAATTTTCAAGTTGTAACAGAGGGACAGGAAGATAAAAAAGATTTTATCTTTGTCTTTTGGCTGTAATTTTCTACATATTGCATAGGGTTACACACTTATGCGTATTTTAAAGTTAACTTCTAAAGAGGTTTTTTCCTAAAAGTGTGTTTAAGTTGATTTTCCTGAGGGTGCGGAAGACAAATGGCTGGGTTGTGTGCGCACGTGTGCAGCGTTTTCTTCGTGCAGAAGTCTGGGAAGGTTGTTTTCAGTCTTTGCTGTGTAGTCACACGGTCCCGGTCCCCAGGTCTATGAATCGGCTTTCTCAATGCTTGATGGTTTTTAAAAAGCTGTTGTCTAACTCAGCAAAATAATATTACCTTAAATTTGTTATTTCAGCTCACCTATAGCAAATGATTTGTTAAATTGTTATGCTCAAAGCAAATATGGATATAAATCTTGGTTCTCCATGTGTAACTTTTATGACATAATTTACTGCAGCTTAATGTTTTGCCAGTTTTGAATAAGGAAATATATATATATATATATATTAAATATATTTTTATTTCAGAGAGAGAGGGAGAGGTAGAAACATCAATGATGAGAGAGAATCATGGATCGGCTGCCTCCTGCCCGCCCCACACTGGGGATGGAGCCCCAAAACTGGGCATGTGCCCTGACCAGGAATCAAACCGTGACCTCCTGGTTCACAGATTGATGTTCAGCTCCTGAGCCGCGCCGGCCGGGCGGGAATTAAATATTCTGATGTGGTAGGCGATACAGGTTGCATGTGGACACTCAGCCCCATTCACAGCTTGGAAAAAAATCAGACAAATGGCAATGTTATAATGAATTCTCAGGTGAACTTGTTTTGTATAAAACATCTGTTTTGAATTTGTAAGTATTTTAAAGGTTTACTAAGGCATGTAATAAACTATTCTTTGAACCCTGTTGGGTAAATGAAAATTTAAAGCCATAATGGCATACTAATTGTAAATAAACATCTATTGATTTTTTTGTATCTTCCTTAATATAATTTTCTAACAATGCAATAAAACCACTAAATTTATATATTCATAGCCAATTAAGGTCATGTTTCATTAAAACAAAACTTTCATAGTATTTAATTTATATTTCCTCCCTAATGTGCTAATCCAAATGTAGCAAAACGATAGATGTTAGTTGTTGGCAATAAATTGACAGTTAAATAAAATTCCCTAAAATTGCTTCTAATTGAATAGAGTTGTATATTCCATTTCCATTTCCCACTTCTGAGGTGACTTTACTAATAATCTCAGTCTTTGGTCAGGCAGTACCTGTCTGAGGGAGGACTTAATATCTGATGATGGTGCTGAAAACTGTGCCCAGACATGGGGTTGAGGGAGCACAGCGTCTGCCGTGCTCCTGACGGACTCGGGTGGAGATGTGGGGCTTTTGGAGGGGACACTGTGTCTCTAGTCCCCGGGTTTTACAGACTCACCTGCTCAGGCACCTCTCCCAGGTGACAGGCCCTGTACCAGGCTGGCCACCCAGAGCCTGCACCCCCCGTGTGTGCCTCTCTGGGAAACGTGACTCACCAGGGGGACCTGACACCCCTGTGTTCGGCAATTTCCAGAGTAGCAGGGGCAGGATATAGGACAGGGCACCAGGTGGGTGGAGGCCAGGCCCACTGCCAAGTGTCTGTGAGGCGCAAGGTGACCCTCACGGCAAAGAACCCACCACCAGAGATGCCAGACACCCTCACCAGGCCCGCCCGGGGCAGGCTGCTGGGAGGTGGAGGAGAGAAATGGGGTGTCACAAGCGGGGGATCTCGGTGTGGGCCACATGCCAGGAGAGGGGGCACCAGTCAGCCTGGCATGCGTGGGCACCGAGGCAGCGTCACAGTGGGAGAGGCCAAGGGCCTGGCAGTCCCAGGACGCCACCGTGTGGTCACCATGGTTACCACAGGTCCAGGCATCTGACGGCCCCTGTGAACACTGACCCTGTCACGGGAGGCCTGAGGCCAGGTGCAGGGGCTTTGAGGACGGGAGTGTGAGGGGTGGATGTCACACTCTCTGAGGGGCCAGGAAGTAGCACCGCGCCCTCTGCCCCCGCACCCCAACACGAGTTTTGGGCCATTTGAGAAAGAAGGTGGGCGTGGCATCCACCTTGCCGATGGAGGCCTGAGCGAGGCCCGTGTGAGGGCGCGGCTGTGCAGGTGAGCCCAGTGGGTTTGCTGAACGTGGGCGAACCCCAGCCAGTCCCCCAGCTTACCTGGGACAGCGCCCTGGAGGGCAGGTCCCAGCACTTGGGTTCGGCCGGCCACCTGCTTCAACGGACCGACTAGAACCTAGGGCCTCCCTGGGCAGTGAGAGGAGAGGGCCGTGGGGACAAGGGGTGCGGGGCATGGGGGCGGGGGCAGGGGTTTAGGAAAGACCTGGAAGCCGGATGAGGGAGGGGTGTCCCCTTCATGCGCCTCCCCTGGTTTTTCTGGAAACACTGGGTCCTCATCCCCAGCGGCCTCGGCCAGGCCTGTCCCCGTGGCTGTGGCAGCGCCGGGCACGGCCCTGCTGTTCCGGACAGGCCTGCCCACGAGGGGGGCCCTCCATCCCGAGGGGTAACCCCAGAAACTCCAGACGTGCCAAGATGCCCATCGCAGCAGCGTCCAGTGCAGTGGACAAGCCCTCTGAGAGGGACAAGGTGACTCCTGTCCTGACCCTGCGCCGGGGTCCCCGAGGGCGGCCGGCGCGCTGCTTGGCTCTCGTGACCTTGTTCACTGACTTCACAGCCGCCCCGTGGTGGGCCCTGCGCTCCCTCCTCCCGGTGCTTTAGCGGGTGCGCCCACCCGACAGACGCGGAAACTGCTGACAGCGCCCGCTGCATCGGAAGCGACCATCACCTGCGCGTGAAAGTCTCTAAACAGCCCGCCAAGGTGTCGCCAAAGCCGACCAGGTCTTGTGTGTGCCATTCGCCTTCACCGGTGCACGTGGATCCGGGACTGCGGCCACCGCAACTGAAACGGTTCAACGTGGTTTTAAGAAACAAAAGCTACGGGCGTGTCAGCCAGGAACCTAAAGGCAGGAAGTTATCTCACCAAGAACCGAAATCCAGGCCTTGGGACTGGCTCCCGCTCCCCCTGCGTCCCTGCCCTTCTCGACGCACTGGGCCTTGCCGCTGTGACCTCGTGATCACCCCTGTGACATCACGGGGCCTGGTTTGCTTGTAAGCAGTCAGGGTCTCACATGACGTTAACCTGGGGAAGGTCCGTAGACATGCACTTTGGAACGTATTTTGTCTTATTTTCTTCTGTTCCTGGAACTTATCACAGTCCTGGCCTTGTCAGAACTCTCTGCGCGTGACTTTCCTTTCCACCATAGATGGCAGCGCAGCCCCGCCTGCGCCCGGCCTGGCTGCGTGGGTCAAGCTGTGGCCGGAGCAGCCAGACCAGCCCCGTGGCGGGTTCCTGTCCGCGGGCAGGACGCTCCCCGGTGCCTTTGGGGACGAGGCCAGTGTTTCCAACCCACGTGTCTCACAGCAGATCCACCGCGTGGGCGTGACCCGCTGCGGGCCACCCTCCTGTGTAGCGCCGTCTCCCGGGAGCCCTGGCTCAGGCTGCGGGAGCCCCAGCTCAGGCTGCGGGTCCCGGCTCCCTGCTCCAGTCACCGCCCCTGGTCACCTCCTCCAGGTCACAGGCCCGTCCCCTCTCCTGCTCAGCCGCCGCCTCCTCCTCCTCCAGATCACAGACCCGTCACCTCTCCTGGTCACTCCTCCCCCGGTCACAGGCCTGTCCCCTCTCCCGGTCACTCCTCTGGTCACAGGCGATTCTCTGGTCAGTCCAGCCCTGCCTCTCGGACTTTCTTCTAGGCCACTCCCCACCTCCCTGGGCCAGAAAGTGGCAACTCCACAGGGTGAACCCCTTTGGAGGTAAGAGGGTGTGAACGAAGGGGAGGAGCTCTGTGCTGGGACATCAAGTAGGGAGAACACCTTCGGACACAGGCCCCTCAGAAGGACCAGAGCAAGGTGAGTTTCCCGGGGGTGTTCCAGCGCGTGGTGAACGAGGCCAACAACGGTAAAGGAAGTCTATTCAATACACGGTTTGGAACACTTAGTCATCTGTTTACAACAAATGATACCTTGGATTTTATCTCATTTCATGCACCAGAAATAAATTCTACAAAGCTAAAGGAATTCATGCAAAAATCATAGAATTGAAAGTGTAGAAGAAACTAGGACCTCTTTAGGTGAAGGAAGACTTACTAAACTTAAAAATATCAGTAAAACTATCAGGGCGAAGATGGATTTTATACTACAAGATAAAACCTGATGTCTATAAAAGTCAGAAATAAGAAGCAAGTACTTTGGGGATATTTTGAATCAGCTATGAGTCAGGTTCATTTTCCTTATTGTAAAATACCACAAACATCAATAATAGAAACCTCAAAACCACAGCAGCTAAATATGCAAAAACCATTATCAGAAAGTCACAAAAGACGGCACCGACTGCTAAAGGAGCACATCGGAAGCATTTTCGACACTCGTGACCAGACTCTCAAATGCAGAGACTAAAAGGCCATTTCTTCCCAGCAAATTGAGACCCGTAAGCTGTTCTCAATGAGAATGCTCGCTGTCAGGCAGGCGAGGTAAAGGCAGGGGCACGCCCACACCTTGTAAGGCAGGTGCAATCTGCTGCAAAGGTTTTGGGGAAAAATTGGTAACATAGAACTTCAAATATTTCTGCCCTTTGAACTAATAATTTCATTTCTGGGAATTAATCTGAGGAACCAATCCAACTAATGGAAACGCTTTCTGTGTAGAGGTACTCCTTCTCGTGTGTGTAAGGGTTAAGCTTGAAGCCCATGTTAACATACCACATAGAAAATAGTTCACTAAGGCCAGGTCTCCCCAGTCAGTGGGATTTTATGTCATTGCTTTAAGATGCTTTTAATTTTTTAAATATATATTTTTATTGATTTCAGAGAGGAAGGGAGAGGGAGAGAGAGAGAGAAATATCAATGAGAGAATCATTGATCGGCTGCCTCTTGCACACCCCCTAGTGGGGATTGAGCCTGCAACCCGGGCATGTGCCCTTGACCGAATCTAACCAAGGACCCTTCAGTCCACAGGATGACATTCTATCCACTGAGCCAAAGCAGCTAGGGTGCTTTAAGATTTTTTTTTAAAAAAAATTTATAATAAGAGAAATGTCATGCCACAGTAAATAAAGCAAGGTACATATGGTATGTCTACAATGTAAAGAAAGCAGCGTATACAGGGTGTCTCCCCAAAATGTACACACACAGTTACAGCTGAAAGCTGATGTTTCTTTCTTTTCAGATTTAACTCATTGGAATTAATAATTATTCAAAGTGTAGATACATTTTTTTGGGATACCCTATATCTTCTATAATAATAAAAGCGTAATATGCTAATTAGACCAGACGTCCTTCTGGACGACCTTCCGGATGAAGCCGGGGCTGTGAGGGAAGCCCGGGTCCCGGGTGCCAGAGGGAAGCCGGTGCTGGTAGCTGGGGGAAGGAAGCCTACTTTTTCTATGAATTTTCTGCACCGGTGGGGTCCCTTGGCCTGGCCTGTGCCCTCTCGCAATCTGGGGTCCCTTGGGGGATGTCGGAGAGCCGGTTTCAGCCTGATCCCTGCAGGCCTGATATAGGAGGGAGCCCAATCCTGTGCGTTGAGCATCTTTCCCTTGGTGGTCAGTGCATGTCATAGCGACCGGTCGACCGGTCATTCGGTTGTTCGGTCACATAGGCCTTTATATATATAGACTAGAGGCCTGGTGCATGAAATTTGTGCACTGGGCTGGAGGGTTCCTCAGCCTGGCCTGTGCCCTCTCGCAGTCTGGGACCCCTTGCTCCTTACTGCCTGCCTGCTCGCTGCTCCTTACTGCTAGACTCACTGCTCCGTAGCACTGCTGCGAAGGCAGGAGAGGCTCCCACCACCGCCGCTGCACTAGCCAGCCGTGAGCCCAGCTTCTGGCTAAGCGGCTCCCCCTGTGAGAGTGCACTGACCACCAGGGGGAAGCTCCTGAACTGAGCATCTGCCCCCTGGGGGTCAGTGCGCATCATAGTGACCGGTCGTTCTGGTCATTCTGTTGTAACAGTTGCTTAGGCTTTTATATATACTAGAGGCCTGGTGCACGAATTCATGTACCAGTGGGGGCCCTCAGCTTGGCCTGCGGGATCGGGCCTAAACCAGCTCTCCAACATACCCCAAGGGGTCCCAGATTGCAAGAGGGC